TAGAAAAGGAAAAGGCTTTCACTCTGCTAATTCCACCTCAGGACCTCTGTCTGAGGCAAACACTCACTGGACTGTGGCCTGTTGTTATAGAAATGTGCGCTTATTACACATGTGGGCACATGCACACGTGCACACACATACTCCCCGCCTCTCCCCAGAGGGCAGCACATCTCATTCCCTGCTCTGTGCTTTGTTCTCACTCTAGTTGTGGGGGCATGTTTCATCTCTGTGGGCAGAGCTCTTGCATTCTTCTGTACAACTGCCCTGTCACATGGGGTTCTGTGTAAATGGTACGGGGGTGGCATCTGACCTCCTCCTCTAACTTCTCCAGGGGGAGAGAATCACCATCAACATCAGCTTAAGGCTGAGTCCTATGAGGCGGAGGTCAGGCATGCCTCCTCTCACCACACTTTTTAGCCATCTGACACCAGCAGTCTCTCCCACGGGACTCTGCTTCTCTGACATAACACTCACAATAATGGGGTTTATTAGGGAAGTAAAAGCTTACAACTCAGGATCTGAAAGGACTTGGGATACAGTTCTTCAGGAGCTGTGCCCACAAACAGGCCTCTTCTGACCCTTGACCTCTCGGCCTCTGTCCCCGCTAGCTCACTAGCTCGAGCAAGTGTTATAAAACTCTTTAGCTCCACCCCAAAGCACTCCGCTTTAGCCAGCAAAGCTTGGCTGGAACATGCTTAGCTCTAGCTCTGTGGGTTAGCAAACCTAGCTCTACCAAGTGCCCAGAAGCACCGCACCCTGTCAGGAAGCCTCCTGTCTACAGGTTCCTAAGTTTTTCACTTTGTGAGCTGGGAAGCCCACTGTACCATTTCCTGCCTTTCTCCTGATTCTGCTGCTTTTGTTGCCATTTTTGGTCTTCTCTCCAGTGTTAAAACTTTCTGTCCCCTGGGCCTAGGAGGTTCCCAGTACAAGGTGCCAGGTCTAAAAGGTGTACTGCACTCCCAGCTCATCTTTCCAGATGGTCACGGTCCTCCGTTCTGCCTTTAGGATGGCTCATTTTAAGCCTAATGGGATGGCAAACATACAATAACCAATCCACTTATTTCCATGGTTCCACACAAGATGTTTTTAAAGTGTTGAAGAGCAAAGATGTCAGCTTGAGGACTAAGATGCACCTGACCCAAGCTATGGTGTTTCCAATAACTTCATATGCATGCAAAAGCTGGACAGTGAATAAGGAAGACCATAGAAGAATTGATGCTTTTGAGTTACAGTACTGGAGGAGAATCTTGAAAATGCCATGGGCTGCCAATAGATCTGTTTTGGAAGAAGTGTAGCCAAAGTGCTCCTTAGAGGCCAAGATGGCCAAACTTCATCTCTCATACTTCGGACATATTGTCAGGAGGGACTAGTCTCTGGAGAAGGATATCATGTTTGGTAAGGTGGGGAGGGTCAGAGAAAAAGAGGAAGACCCCTAGCAAGATGGATTGGCAAAATGGCAGCATTCAGTGGGCTCAAGAGTGGCAACAGTAGTGAGGTTGGTCCAGGACTGGGTAGTGTTTCATTCTGCTGTGCATAGGATCGCTATGAGTTGGTACCGACTCGATGGCACCTAACAACAACAACCCCAGCAAGGGTTTCATGCACCTTATTTATATTATTAATAAACTTTCCAATCCCCTTGGTGAGCCACAAGCACCTCATTTGCATAGTCACACACAGAAATTTGGTGGGAGTTACAGAGAGTATGGTTGCTGTTGTCATGTTGTGAAGTGCTGTCAAATCAATTCCGACCCATAACATCCCTGTATAGGGTTTCCAAGAAGCAGTTGGTGAGCTTGAACCACTGGCTTTGCAGTTCAAATGACTTTGCAGTCTGACACATTAGCCCACAGCGCCATACCAGGACTCCGAGAGTATGGTTAGAAGGGCCATATTAAGTAATTCGTTGTACCACAGGTGGGTACACCATGGCCTCCTCATCCAGTTCCCTACTGATGGGTATGTAGGTTGTTTTCAATCTTGAATGAATAACCTGGTACATAACCTAAACCCATGAGGACAGGGATTGTTTGGTTAACCAAAATCAATATGAATTGTTGAATGGAAAATTGATCTGCTCAGTAAACTTTCACCCAATTTACAATAAAAAGTTTAAAAATATAAGAAAAAGAAAATCATGTGAAGCATGGTTCTTTTCTTTGCGTTCTTTATTTTTTTAAAAAGTTTTTGTTGTGAATCGAGTGATAGTTTACATGGGGGAACATCAGTTTTACATTCGTTATTTCATTGCAATAATTACAATCTCCTCTGTGCATCATCATTCAGCATATTTACTTCTATTTCCTCTGTTTTGTTTTGGTTTTTGGCGGAGGTGGGGGGAGAGAATATACACAAAAATACTCAGGAATCGTTTAAACAACCAAAGCACACATTCTGCAAGCCTGCCTCCTGGCCACCAGCACCTTCTGCCAGCACACAGCCTTTCTCTTTCCATGAGTCTAGACTCCTCAGCTGCTCTCTCTACATGCTCTCATTTCTGCCTCCATCTCTGCTGTGCCTGCTTCTCTGGTTAGGGTTCCAGTTGTGCTCCTCTCCCTCAATGGTCCTAGGGTTCTCTGTTCCTGGACTGTAAGATTAACTACTCTCCTTTTTTTGTGTTACAAAACTTCTACCTTTACAGTTGTGACAGTCGCAGTTAGTCATGATAACAGTTACTCACAATTGAATCATATGAATCTTATCCCCATCTCTTTTCACCAGACCCATCTAGACAAGATGAAAACTACTCAGTGGGGATTCTACCTTCCCCCACACTCTGGCATGGTTTTTTTTCTTGTTGAAAAAGATTAGATGGCGGTGATGGGTGCACACCACGTACATGGGTTGAAGTTATGCTGATGGGCTGGAGCATTCCACCTTCTTGGTTGCTGCTAGAGGTGAAACTTAGGTTAGTGTTAGCACTGGATTCATAGACAGATCATCCTCTACCCTTGTATGGGTCTTAGTCTCCAAAGGATGGGTTGGTTGTGTCCCTCCCATCCCCACTGGACTCCAGTCCTCAAAATGGTGCCTTGCCCATAGTATTGGGCATTTGTTGAATGTTTTCTTCTGCCAAATCTCTTTTGCCTTTTGGGTCTTTCTAGTTAAAATTAGTCTCTTTGACATGCAAAGTGGGCCAGGCTAGCAGAAACAACAGTCCCAGCTTTTGGGTGAAGTAGACCAATGGTCATTTATAAATTCAAGTTGGAGCTCGGACCCTCCTTTTCCTTTCCTACTGGAGTCTCTTGCATTGGCAGCTACTTCATTGGCTGAAGAAAAGGAAGCGCGAAGAGAAGGACGAGTGCACAGGCTCCTTTGCTCTCATAGGCTTTTTCTCTGAGCCAGACAATGACATCGGCCATTCTGAGCATTTTTTGAGTTCCCTCCCTTCTTTTCAAAGTCTCAGAACATACATTGAGTAATCCATCTGCTCCCTTTTCTCTGCCATTGATGAATAATTCTGCTTGGAGGGGGAAGGAGGAGCAGAATTTCACTGAATAATTGTGTGTGTATGGGAAGTATGTAGTGTGTGCATGTGTGCACATCCTGTTTATGTGTAGTGATTTGCATGTGTGTGCATTCAGCCTCCTGTTACGCTTTTGTTTAATTGGGCTGAGAACAGATACTATAAAGGTTTCAGCAGTACAATATTCTCCCCTATTCCTGCCAGCACCCACATGCCTCTCCTCCCACTTGCCTCCATCTGCCTCTTCTTAAACTCTACTCTAGAGACTGGGGACAATACAGCTTCTAAGTGTGGCTGTGAATGGTGGGTATTCACCCACATAATTCCATAGAAATAGGTTCTTCTAGGAAGTTTGGGTCAAAGACAGGCTTTGACAACCTGTTATCCGGCCATGAGGACGGAGGGTTCAGTGTTCCTGTGTTGTGAGACCATGAAGAATACACCTGGATCAGGCTGTCCTCTTGGGGGACCAGCATCTTGGGCTGAAGGGGGCTCTCCTTGTATGAGAGTCTCCCTGTGGATCTCAGTTAGCCCTTGGCTCTGATTCTAGCACTGAAGGTCACACTTGGCCTTGGGCATGAAGCTCTGTACTTTCACATGTTCCCCTCAAAGTTTTCAGACACCCTTGTCCTCCCAGGGAAACTCCCTGGGCAGCTGTTAGGGGTTGAATCATGTACCTCACCACGATGAGTTGTAGCCCCAGGTACTTGTGTACTTTCATTTGAACATAGGAATTTTAAAGACACTATTAGTGAGGTTAGCAGGAGGTCCAGGAGCCATGGTGGCACAGTGGTTAAGTGCTCATATGCTAACTGATAGGCTTGAACCTACCAACCAGTCAACCAGAGGAAGCCCTGGCAGTCTGATTGTGTGTAGAGTTACACCCTTGGAGACCCTGTGGGTTGCTATGAGTCACAATAGACTGCATGGCAAGGGATTTTTTTGACTATTTAACATGAGGTCATATGGGCATAGAGTGGACCCTGACCCTATACATGTGCTATTCTTACCTAAGAGGTGAAGACGCATGGAGAGACTGAAGGATGCCATGTGGTAAGAGAGGCAGAGGCAGAGGCAGACTTAAGCCAAGAACAGCAAGGCTTACTGGCAGCCACCAGAAACCAAGAGACGGCACAGTTGCTGTTCAAGAGCCTCAGAAGGAATCCACAAGGCTGAGGCCCAGATTTGGACTTCTGGCCTCTAGAATTGAGACAATTAATTTCTGTTCCTATGAGCTACCCAGTGGTATTCTGTTATAGCAGCTGTAGGAGACTAAGACAATATCTGTTGGACTAGATTTACAAAAGGAGAAACCAAGTTTCGAATGTGTTCCTTGGGTTGCTCCCTTAGTATGGGTGCTTCACAGGAGAGGACCTTACAAATTATTTTTCTTTTCTTAAACCTAATACCTTCTGGAATAGAAGTTACACTCAGGCACAAAATGCTTTTGGCCAACTCTTATAACCAGAGACAGAGCAACACAACCACCTCCAGCAAAGAAGCAGAATATTGGTGTTGTTAGAGAAAGGGTGACATGGAGCTCTCCAGGGATGGGGCACCCAGAAGGTAGGATGTTGCAGTTTCGCCCTCTCCATGGTCTCAGCACATCCCTGAACAGTGAATTCACCATCATGTTGCTGAAGTAACTCCGGTTAACACTGCAGATGTCCTTTGTTGTTGTTGTTGTTGTTAAAGTGCCATTGAGTTGGTTTCGATGCAGTAACTATCTATAGGAGTCCAGGTGTGGCTCTGTGGGTTAATGCGCTGGACTGCAAAGTTGGTTTGAACCAAAAGGTCAGTGGTTCAAACTCACCAGCTGCTCCTTGGAAATCTTATGTTGTTATTGTTGTTAAGTGCCGTCAAGTCACTTCCGACCCAGAACTATCCTGTATAGGGTTTTCAAGGAGCAGCTGGTGAGCTTGAACTGCCGACCTTGTGGTCCAGTGCTTTATCTTACAGTGTCATACCACTATTCCCTGCAGATGTCTGGATGCCAGGAAATATGTGATTTTAATGGTAAACCAAAATTCTGCCACCTGGCGTCATGTTGACAAAGGAGGTCAACCCCTACAGAGGTGGCCAATAAAACCTTGGCACCTGCAACTTTGTAAATGTCAATCAATCAAAAATATTCCAATTGTCAAAAAGAGAAGATGAAGTGTGCAATGAAGCCATCCACAGGCCATGCCAGAACAACAGCAATGTCCTCAACAAGTACAGAGCTGATCTGCAAACGCAGGCTGAGGGTGTCCTATGGGACCAGAAAGCACACTGCACGCAGAGGTTGGATGCTGGGGTCAGTGATTCACCAAGTACCATAGCCTTCCATATTGGTAGACAACCGGCTTCCATGTGCCAGGGCTCTTTATAAAACTTGTAATTTCACTTGTTAAGAGAATGTTACGTAGTGATTTCAAAGAAGAGGGACCTGTTATGTCTACAGTTTGGAATTTGGCAAACATTAGGAGCGCATGAGTAAGTCTGATTTTGCTAATTAAAATCATTAAGACAATCAGAGTTGTAACCTGTCAGCAGCTTGGGAGAAGACTTTTCTCTGCATGAGTCATGGCCAAATGGAAATGGCGTTTCCCCAAAGGTAAGAAATCTCCCCCCTGAAATAAGCTAAAAAGGCTCATAAACCAGACAGCTCTGAGGTGGTTTCCTGGGAGATGTCAGAGGCACAGTCAGGGGTACAGGAAATGTAGGTATTTGGAGTGAAATTTGCAACAAGGCCCTTGCTTCCCCGGGTCCTCTTGCTTCTCCTATATGTAGCCTTGCGAATGGAGAGAATCTATTCCTCTGGTTATGATCTGGTCTATCCCGGTCCTCGCCTAGTCTTCATTCCCAGGGTCACACTTGGTTCCAGAGCAGTATCACTGAGTGACTTCATAGGTCCTCAGTCTTCCCACATTTCCTCACCCTCCCACAAGATCCAGGCCCATTCAGGGCTTCCCCAGTCCCAAAGAAAAGTGCTCAGCAGACCAAAGGCAATGCAGGCTTTCATTGTGGGGAGCGAGTTGCAAGATTGAGCTTGGGAATCATATCAGAGCTGGAGTGACCTTCTGCTGAGGGATGCAGATGGAACCCAAATGGCCTCTCCTGTGGTGGGGGCTTTATAGTTTCTGTTGCAAATTCCTTCGGAGCCGATGCGGATGCGTCCTGACGCTGGGCCTGTGGTACACAATTGTATCTAAGAACTTCATCCTTGTCCCAAATATTTGCACTTTGATCAGTATCAAGCAAAATTCATCTAACATTTCTTCCTCCATTCTTAGTCAACTGTATCCCCATATGGGAGCAGGGACATCCAGGTCCTGAGGTGCGGGGTGCAGGAGGAGGGTTCATGGCTGGGGGCAAGACACAGGCATCAGAAGGGGTGTGGGATGGGGGTGGGCGAACCAGCCTGGTTTTAGTGACTTTTCCAGATTTAACTATTGTGGGGGCTGGAGGGCGAAGATAAAGAGGGAGAGTAGCAGAATGGGAATGATCTGGCGTGAAGACAATTCTAGAAGTTTTTCTCCGGTGACAACAGCTCAGTTAGGACTTTCTGGTCAAACCCAGTGGGGCCCTTCCCGTCTCTGTTGACCGGGCCTGTGTTTGTTTAGACAGTGGTTTTGTAGCCTGTGGTCTGGGTTTGTCAGGTCGTGTCTTCATGACTGGCTTCGGGTCATTTTCGGCAGGAACAGTACATAAGGATGTCTCCGTTTACTTACATGGGATGCCGCTTGGAATCCGCACCACCAGTCTGAAACCTCAGAGCTAGACCACGAACCCCTCCACTCAGCCACTACCAAGATGGTTGCGACGGAAAGCTTCCGCCCACAGAGGGGCGTGGTCTTGAGGGTCCAGCCAATAAGCGTGCGCGCTTGGCTGTGGCCAATGGGAGGATAGCGCGGGCTCGGGCGCCGCGCGCCGTGGTCTGGGGCTGCAGGCGTCGGGTCATGTCGGACTCCGGTGCTCCTTGCGCCGCCTTGGACGCGAGTCCGCAGGCTCCCCGGAAATCCTGGTCCGAGCTACTGGGTAGGTGGGCGCGGGCGGCCGGCAGTTTCCCGCCGATCACACAGCAGCTCTTCCCGGGCCCCGAGACCCTTCCCATGCGATGGTCCTCTGTCCGGGCTCGGCGCCGTACACGTCCAGACCCGTGCCGGTGTTTCCCCAACCCGGATCCGGACCCTGGTCTCCCGCAGCTCCCTCCTCAGCATCCATCCCCATCCTTCAAACTAGCAATTCAAGAAGGACAAACCCTGCTCTACAAACTGTGGATTTGAGCTTGATCTGGAATGCCAGCCTAGTTGCACTGGATGAGATTTTAAAAGCTTTGCATTGAAGCTGTCACCGGAGCCACATGAACTCATTTTCATTTAGGCTGCACTTAGCAAACAGTTCGCAGATTCAGAAATGGGCGCTCGTGCATGCCATCTCTCCATTTTCCCGTCGCCCCTTCACCGCTACAGGATCCTCTGACCCTTAAACCCCTCTTTTCCGACCTTGAAACATTTTTGAACAGTTGTTAGTCTCCATCCAGTGGGAAACACGGCCTGGTCCTGCAACATCTCTCTCGTGCCTTATTTTGTGGGGTGGTTCTTGAGAAACAGCACAGGCCTGGTGTGTCCATGGTGCGTCCCAACAGGGCTATATGGTGTTTTTAGTCCATGAGGTTTAAGTAGTGCTGTGATGTTTAACTGATTTTTCCCTCCTTAGCCGGAAGGGCTAAAAGGCAAAAAGCCAATCCTGAAAGGGAGCAGAAGTTCCAGGAAGCCGCAGTGAATCTGCTGAGAAGCCATCAAAACCTGGATGACCTTATGCTTGAGGTAAGAGGACACTGGTTTGTCCGGTAGAGGCATAGTTACAGGTGGACTTTCTGAACCCAGTCAAGGCATCATTTTCATAAAAAGATTCCTGAATGCCTAGTGAATATCTGGTAAAAAAAAAAAATCTTATAAATTTTGACTAGGTGAGGAAAAAACGGGGTATTTATCTCTTTGGAAAATGAAGTGAATAATAATTCTCAAAAGGCTTTAGTAAAATATCAAACCTGTTAAAATGTTGTACCTCAAAGATTTGAGACTGGCCTGGCAGACAAGCATTCTGTATATAGATTGTGTTTGTGCACACACTGCATGAGGTTTTTAAATGGTGCCTTTGTGTTTTCATTTCTAGGTAGAAGGTCCACAGTATAAAAAATTGTGTCTCAGCAAATTGATTGATCCTGACAGCCCTGAGTCCAACCCTAACCCTTGTAATTCATTTATAGGTGAGTTACAGCTTCATTTTCTAATATATGAGGTTCTAGAAGGCCTTTTATATACAGTGACCATGAATAATACAGAAATTGAAATTCTCCTGGTGTGGTGCTGTAGGATAAGCACTGGACCGAAAGGTTGTTTTGAACTGCAAGGTTGGCGGTTGAAACTCACCAGCTGCTCCTCGGAAAGTCCATACAGGGTCGCTATGAGTTGGAACTGACTTGATGGTGTTTAACAACAACTTACATATGTATGTATGAAGCATTCTCTCACTAGCCAAAAGCGGGTAGATTGAATTCACTCAGAGGTGCCTGGAAGAAAGGCTTGAAATGCCTCCCAAGGTCACAGCCTTGAAAACCCTGTGCAATGGTCCTGCCCTGCACACATGAGGGAGGTCTCCTTGAATTGTTGGCTTGACAACAAGTCAGCTTCAACAGTAACTTATATGGTCATGAACTACAAAACATGTTTCTGTGACTTGCTTGTGGCTTACTTGGATACTGCAGTTTACAAATAATTTGACATGGCACACTAATGAAGATGTGCACCTTGTTCACAGTTGTGGAAACGGGTTGTATGGGGTGAGGACAGGAGGCAGGAATCAGAATATGTATATTTGTAGGTTATGCAACTCCTTGTTTGAGAAAAGCATTATTTGTTAAACTGTTTGTGATTTTTTGTAAAGTAATAGGCTTGCCTTGATGACAGATTACGAAAGGTGGATGACATTGCTTTCGTTGCTGTAATTGTAATTGAGTTTCACAAATTATGCCTGGAACGAAGTTCAGCCACACTCTCTTCTCTGGGCTTTTGAATCAAGACATAAGATGTATTTAAGGAAGCTCTCAAGCTCACCACGGAAATAGAAAAGACCCTTAACTCAGGGTGTTGACTTGTTCTTCTGTTGAGTGCGTTGTCCACCATGTTCATTCATACTTCTACTTTTTTTTATTTAAGGTTTTTATTGTGGATTGAGTAAAAGTTTACAGGGCAGATCATTAGTTTTACATTCAACAAATCATACTCCTTGTTTCATTACACCGATTATAATCCCCTCCATGCACCATCAGTTAACAGTGTTTCTCTCTATTCACTTTAGCTTTTTTTTAAAACACTCAGGCATATTCTGCAAGTCTGCCTTCTGGCCGCCATCTCTTAGTCCCTCACTTCCCATGAATCTAGAATCCTCAGCTGCTCGCTCTCTCCATGTCCCCATCTCTGGTGTTGCTGTTTCTCTGGATAAGGTCTCGCATTCCACTAGTGCTCTTCACCCGTAATGGTCCTAGAGTCCTCTGTGTCTGGACTGTAAGATTAACCAATCACTCCCCCATTTTTGTTACAAAACTTCTACCTTTACAATTGTGAGAGTCACAATTAGTCATGATAACAATTACTCATTGTTGAATCATGAAAATCTTATCCCCATCTCTTTCAACCAGACCCAACTAGACAAGATGAAAACTATTCAGTGGGGACTCTTCCTTCCCCCGCCACACTATTAAACTAAGCCCCCTTGAAACCCTGTAAGCCAGTCACTTCATGCCTTTATCACCCCCTCATTTTAGGTAGCCAATGTCTAAGTTGCCCGTCCCATTTGCCCTGTGTATAGAGGGGATAGCATTGGTACTTGCTGTGAAGACTCCTTCCTTCTGTTGGTGTTTAGAGTTACTGTAACTCCATGAGTCTAGGTCAAGTTCATCAAATTGTAGCAATTTACCCTCCTTTCCTTTATCAAAATTTGTTTTGTTCTTTTTTTTTTTTTTTTTCCTTCCTCTAGTTCTGATTATCAAGCCATCAAGACTAGGTCAAAAGTTTGAGTGTTCTTATGCCTCTCCCCTCACTGCATATCAGCTGGATGCTTCACTCTTAGCTCTAGCCCTCAGTAGCTATGTCCTTGTCCATAGCCTTAGGTATCCCCAGGTCTCACCATATTTTGGACCAACCAGCCCTTCTTCTCTCTCATCTTCAGGTACACGGGAGTCTGTGGAACATGGTTGAACTCAGTCCAGGTCTCCATTACTGCCTTTCCCCCTCTTCCACTCACCAGTAGATGAGCATGGGCATTAGCAAGCTTACATGCCTGTTTCTGTGTTCCCTTTGAGTTTCAGTCTTAGAGGGGACTTTGTCCTGAAGGAACTTGATTGCTTTCCATGATGGCTTCCCGGTGAACAACTTGCTTATTCTTGTAGTAGCCAGTCACACTGCCATTTTTGTTTTGGGTCTTTCCTGATGATCTTTCTTTGAAGATGTATCTTCTGTCACTGTAGCTGTTCCAGGCTGGTCTGCTTATCCTTTCTAGTAAGAATGTTCCACCTCAGAAGGCTTTTTTTTTTTTTTTTAAATGTTTTATAGTGAATTATGTGATAGTTTACATGAGAGAACATTAGTTTTACATTCATCCTATCGTATATCGTTTCATTGCCATTGTTACAATCCCCTCCATGCATCGTCAACCAACCAAAGGGTATACCCTACAAGCCTGTCCCCCGGTCGTCAGCACACAGCCCCTCTCCCTCTCTGGGTCTAAAGTCCCCAGCCGCTCCA